AAAAATTGCAAAATTCGGACAAAAAAAGTGTGCGACAAATTTTCGAATTTCGAAGTTGTTTAAGTGCTATTATATCAGAAATTACACGTAGATTCCAGAAATGAAAACCCGAAGAAAATCGACCGGAAAATGCGACTTTTAGGTCCGATTTTCTACTTTTTGCACATATTGGACTGTGGCATTTCCGGTTTTGCAAAAATGTTCCAATTTATATTTATGCAACACGTTGCCACTACAGAAGGTCTAGGAAAGTTGAATGGTTGCTGCAACTATTGCAGTCTAAGCACAGGAAGGTGTGTAAATTTCGAAAAAAAAAAAAAAAAAAGAATAGACATTTCGATAACAAACTGGGACTTTGCTGAAAGCAAAGTCCCACAAAAAGAATTGACATTTCGATAACAAATTAGTTTATTAGATAAGTGTCACAAATCAGCTATACATAAAACATATAAAACAAAATAATAAGATTTCCGGCCACTATTGGCCTATGAGACACCGAACAGTTAAAACGTCAAATAAGCAAATTAGTAAATCACATTTATAACACTAATAGTTCCAACAATTAATTCAATTGTTAACATAAAATCAAGTATTCATATACAACGCACCCACACACTCACAAGGTAGCACTATACATAATCATTTATAACATTTTAAAACTTAAACAACTACACAATGGCAGTCTTTTCCTGGTTTTGTATTATCTAAAAATTACCCAAGTGATTTTGTATAAAATGGTTCGTCATGAATTGGAGCAAACGGTAAAATTCGTTGTAAATATTTCTTTCACATATTTGTAATCTATTTGTTGTTTTGTGAGATTTTGCCAATTAACAATAGATTTAGGAGTTATATATTCACGTTTGATCAAATGGTCATATACATCATTAGGTTTAATTATATCTAATGTTTTACTATATATTTTCTTTATCAAGTCATCAATATCATCTAGTATATTTTGAAAAACGATAGGCTGTAATATATTATCATTTTCTTTAGTTGATTTTAAAACTATACTTTTGAGGTTCTGTATAATAAGACTTTCGGACAAGGTAAAATTTGTAGATACTGTATGCACATCTTCAACATGATTGATACCTTTAATGAATAATTTCAAATTATAAGTATTGAATAAGATGTATTTATTATTCCATATTATTTGATTCTGTAAGTTTCTGTATTGATCAATATTTCTCCAGTCCTCAAGCAATTTTTTTATAGAAAGGTATGTTAATTTTTATGTTTTTGTCATAATTTCAGGCAAAAAGAAGTTGACCTCCATAATTTTTTAGAATGAAGTTGTAGAACAAATCGTTGACTTATCAATTCGAATTTTTATTTTACTACCGAATGTTAACATTTTTTTTTTCCACTATGACTTTAAAATGCAACGGTTGACCGATGTATCAGGTTGGGTGCGCACTGCTTTGGTACCGTGGCACGGCTCTAGTCTAAATGTGTTATGTGCATCTGGTAGCAACAATTTGCACCATTCCAATTTTCAATCAGACGTCTGGTTCCTGCATTTCCTCAAAAATAGTTTTTGATGACGTCACTAATAACGAAACTTTCTTGATCACATATGGCCCTTCGCGATAAGTGACATCATCTAACACTTAGTTTTAATTGAATTGCAGGAACCAGACATCGGATTGGAAATTCGATTTGTGGCAATTGATGCTATCAGTGTCCCTGATACACATACATTTAGAAAACTTCTTTCCAATCTCTTCTTAAAGCTTTATCACTTCTATAAAATTTTGGTAGTCCACAAAGAGACGAATAGCTAACCAAATTGATCGACCTGACTGATAAATCACTTTAATGTTAAAGCATGTAGAATTGAAAAAGTCCGGTCAACAGGCAGGCTACCGCTCTAAAAGGTACATAAGTTCATGCTTTTTAGCAGTCCAATCTGAAGAAAAGGACAGAGTGAAAAGACAGTTGCTCTACTACATTCTAAAAATGTGCTATGCAATTTCAGCTGAGTAAATGAAGATGAATGGTGCTTTTTGTTAGTATGTATTGTGTCATGTAGGTTTTTTCATATTGAATAAATATCATGATTTTATTCAAAGGGCCATTTTGTGGCCGAGGGGCCATTTTGGTTAGGTGCCAAATTATCCAATAAGACTAGTTTTTAGTACATGTAACGTGAATACTTACAAGTGATGAAAATGTTCCAACCTGACCTCTTTTTCTACCTTTGCGAACAAGAGCACGCCCTCTCAAAGCATCGTAATGGTTAGCTGTCATTACATCATAGACTAAGTGTCTTGGTACAGCTTATTTGTGATTCTCTCTTATCTTTTTGTGCATTAGCCTAACAATTTGCCCGGTCCGTTCATTTCTTCTTCAACACAATTAATAACGTTATCTACAGATATCTTGTAATCAATATACCTAATGTCAAAGTATGATAAACGTCTACTCAATGCAGGTAAGCTCTATGCATATTCGTTATGATCTCGTTTGACGTAATCCAGAATTTCTGTCCGTTTTAAGTTTCTTAAAACATAATCATGGAGATTTGATCTCAAAACCAGATCGTCTTTCCAAGATAAAAACGAAT